ATAATAGCATCTTGCATATAGTTTTGTGGTGGAAACTAAGATAACACATTCATGCCATTTTATAAATGTTATTGCACAATACAGAGACCTTTTATTTTGCATATTTGAATAGCTTAAGTTAGGTTTTCATAAGTTGATCCTTTATAAATTACCAGACTAGATGAATAAGTAGTCCAGGTTAACCAATCAAGAAGGTATTTCATCTAGAGCTCTGCCTTTTCTTCCTGACAGTATCAGATTAAATAGAGGATACTTACCATTTTTTTGGTATTATTTCTGGTTTCTAAAACAGATTATTTGAAAAACAAATTCAACTCATGTTTACATACTGTATGTAGAGATGAAAGAGAAATTTATGGGATTGTGAAATGGTTGAAAGAACATCAATAAAACAAATTTGAGGGGCTGGGGATGTGGCTCAAGCGGTAGCGCGCTCGCCTGGCATGCGTGCGGCCCGGGTTCGATCCTCAGCACCACATACAAAACAAAGATGTTGTATCCGCCGATAACTAAATAAATAAATAAATAAATAAACAAATTTGAAATCTCAATAGTTTGTGCAATATGTGTTTTTTAAAATTTATTCTAAATTGTTAAATATGACAGCAGGATGCATTACAATTCATATTACACATATAGAGCACAATTTTTCATATCTCTGGTTGTATACAAATATATTCACACCATTCGTGTCTTCATATATGTAATTAGGGTAAGGATGTCCATCTCATTCCACCATCTTTTTTATCCCCTTTCCCCCCTCCCTTCCCCTCCCTTTCCTTTTCCCTATCTAGATTTCGTCTAATGCTCCTGCTCCCAACTCCACTATGAATCAGCTTCCTTATATCAGAGAAAACATTCAGCATTTGTTTTTTGGGGGGGATTGGCTAACTTCACTTAGCATTATCTTCTCCAGCTCCATTCATTTACCTGCAAATGCCATGATTTTATTCTCTTTTATTACTGAGTAATATTCCATTGTGTATATATACCACATTTTCTTTATTCATTCATCTACTGAAGGACATCTAGGTTGGTCCCACAGTTTAGCTGTTGTGAATTGTACTGCTGTAAACATTGATGTGGCTGTGTTCCTATAGTACACTATTTTTAAGTCCTTTGGGTATAGACCCGAAGAGTAGGATAGCTGGATCAAAAGGTGGTTCCATTCCCAGTTTTCCCAGGAGTCTCCATTCCATATTGGCTGCACCCATTTGCAGTCCCACCAGCAATGTATGAGTGTGCCTTTTGCTCTGTAGTATAAAGTCTGGTATAGTGATGCCACCTGCTTCACTCTTCTTGCTAAGGATTGCTTTAGCTATTCTGGGTCTCTTATTTTTCCATATGAATTTCATGACTTCTTTTTCTATTTCTATGAGATGTCATTGGGATTTTGATTGGAATTGCATTAAATCTGTATAGTGCTTTTGGTAGTATGGTCATTTTGACAATATTAATTCTGCCTATCCAAGAACAAGATAGATCTTTTCATCTTCTAAGGTCTTTTTAAATTTCTTTCTTCAGAGTTCTGTTGTTTTGTTGTAGAGGTCTTTCATCTCTCTAGTTGATTCCCAAGTTTTTTTTTTGAGGCTATTGTAAATGGGGGTAGTTTTCCCTTTCAGAGGATTTGTCACTGATATACAGAAATGCCTTTGATTTATGGGTGTTGATTTTGTATCCTGCTACTTTGCTGAATTTATTTACTAGTTCAAGAAGTTTTCTGGTGGAATTATTTGGGTCTTCTAGGTATAGAATCATATCATCAGCAAATAATGCTAATTTGAGTTCTTCTTTTCCTATCCGTATCCCTTTAATTTCTTTCATCTGTCTAATTACTCTGGCTAGTGTGTCAAGAAGTGGTGAAAGAGGGCATCCCTGTGTTGTTCCAGTTTTTAGAGGGAATGTTTTCAATTTTTCTCTATTTAGAATGATGTTGGCCTGGGGCTTAGCATGGATAGCTTTTACAGTGTTGAGATATATTCCTGTTTTCTGTAGTTTTTCTAGTGTTTTGAACACTAGAAAGTGTTCAGATACAGGGGTGCTATATTTTGTCGAATGCTTTTTCTGCATCAATTGAGATGATCATATAGTTCTTATCTTTAAGTCTGTTGATATGATGAATTACATTTATTGATTTTTGTATGTTGAAACAACCTTGAATCCTTCGGATGAACCCCACTTGATTGTGGTGCACTATCTTTTTGATATGTTTTTGTATTCGATTTGCCAGAATTTTATTGAGAATTTTTGCATCTACATTCATTAGAGATATTGGTCTGAAGTTTTCTTTCTTTGATGTGTCTTTGCCTGGCTTTGGAATCAGGGTGATACTGGCCTGACAGAATGAGTTTGGAAGCACTCCCTCTTTTTCTATTTCCTGAAATAAATTGAAGAGTTCTGGTATTAGTTCTTTAAAGGTCTTGTAGAACTCGTCTGTGAATCCATCTGGTCCTGGACACAATAAGTGGTTTTTAAACAAACTTAGAGATTCTTCTATAATGTTGTCTTTATGTTACATTGTATATAGTTGTTACTGGCTTATGTCACAAATCACTTTGTAATTTGAATTTATTAGAAGGCCCATTATTATTTGTTCTTCATCATTGATCACTTATGGAATCAGAAATTTCTTTCTGTCCAAGAGGTGGCAGCATTTCAGTTTGAAAACTTATACCTTGAAATGTTTTAGTAATTGATTCATAAGTCTTTCTGAAAGAAGTGTTAAATCCATGGATTTTAAAGTAAGCTTTTTATTTTAGAATAATTTTAGTTTTACACAATGGTGCAGGGAGTTCCCAAATAATAATGGGCCTTCTAATAAATTCAAATTACAAAGTGATTTGTGACACTTCACCCACTTGTCTCTAATGGTAGCATCTTATATAACTATGGTACATCTGTCAAAACTAAGAGATTAACATTGGCACGTTAATATTAAGTAAACTCCAAACTTTATTTGGACTTTATTCATTTTCCCCACTACTGCCCCTTTTCTCTTTAATGATCCAGTCCAAGAAATCCCATTGCAGTTAGGCATATGATTTTTATTATTTTTAAATTTTAATTTTAATTTTTTTGGTATTGGGGATTGAACCCAGTGGTCCTTAGCCACTAAGCCACATCTCCTTTTTGTCTTAACTTTGGATCTGAAATTCAGCAGCTCCTCCTTTCTCTGGCAAAAGATAAATAGACTTTTCTTGGTCCTTTAACCACTACGTCTGTATTGATAGCTTAGAATTTTAGAAGCATGCTTAGAGCACACACTGTATATTCAATTTCAACAGTGAACAGTGCTGATTCTTCTACCCTTCTCTGGGCTTTGCTTTTTAGATTTACCAGGTGCCTAGAATCTGAGAACAGAGAGCTTCCCTATGTGTTCTCAGCTGCCTTCCAAAGAATAACAGTGTCCTTTTCCTTTCTCTTTCCCCCTCTTTTTTTCCTCCTGCTCCACCAAGAACAACTTGGGATGTGATTTTAAATTAGGATGTTTTAAGAGGCTGGGGATATAATTCAGTTGGTAGAGTGCTTGTCTCTTATGCAAAAGGCCCTGGGTTTAATCCCCAGCAACACACACATACATACACACACACACACACACACACACACACACACACACACGTTTTGATATAAGGAAGGCCCTTTTGCTTTGCAGAATAAAGTTACTTCCTTGGAGGCATGGTACCAGATGACTAGCAGCTCTTTTACTCCTGCTTTGGAGAAAATCTCTCTGATGTTAAAGTCTCAATGAAACATTTCTAATCTTATATTTTTACAAAGCACTTTTCATGAACATTGTGGTTTTTTTTTTTTTTTGCATTTCAGTGGGCAGGGATCAGTTTTCAAAGTTGTATTGTATTGAGAAAATTGAGGGTAAAAGAAATTTTAAAAAAATATTTATTTATTTTTTTAGTTATTGGCGGACACAACATCTTTGTATGTGGTGCTGAGGATCGAACCTGGGCCACTCGCATGCCAGGCGAGCGCGCTACCGCTTGAGCCACATCCTCAGCCCAGAGGGTAAAAGAAATTAAGTGACTTGATTAGGTAACAGCAGAGGACTAGAATCCATGTCTTCTGATTCTTTATTTGATGTCCTTTGGTTTCCTCTTAAAGGACAATTTTGTAAGTGTATTACATTCACTTGGAACTTTTAAAATATCCAAATACCCAACCCAGTATGCAGTGCTTGCCCCTTTCCCCAGAAGTCATGTTTGAATTGAAAGTAAACCTTTTCTGGTTGAGAATAGGGCTAATCATAGAATACACAGGGCCTTTAAGTGCTGTTATTATATTTAAAAACAAGCCAGAAATATGTGGTTTAGTGAGTACTGTGCCAACCCAGTCAGGCTGGTTTCCCAAGCTGAAGGAAGAAAATTAATCATGAAAAGGACTAGAATAACTTTGTGTTTAGAAAGCTTAAAAAAATCATATATAGGTTGAATATCCTTTATCTGAAATGGTTGGGACTAGAAGAAGTATGTTATATCTTTGATTCTTTTTTATTTTAATTTTGAAATATTCCTGAACTTTATAGGTTGAGCATTCTAGTCCAGAAATCTGAAATGTGGATTAGGGAAGTAAGAATGTAAACCAGTTCAGTGGGATACTGTAGGACAGGGGATCTAAAGAGCAAAATTTGCAATAGAACTGAGTAAAGGAACACAGAAATATCTATTTCCTTTTATATCTTGCTAGGATATATCAGGAAAGATTTTATACACACACATATGTATATAATTTTTTAATTGTAGCTGGACACAATACATTCATTCATTCATTCATTCATTCATTTATATGTGGTGCTGAGGATCAAACCCAGGGCTTTGCACATGCTAGGTGAGCGCTTTACCATTGAGCCACAACCCCAGCCCAAGAAAAGATTTTTTAAGAGTGTCTTAGCACATTATCTGGTGCTGTAACAAAATGCCATAAACTAGGTAATTTATAGAGAATCAGAGTTAATTTGGCTCATGATTCTGGAAGCTGGGAAGCACAACAGCATGGTGCCAGTATGTGGTGAGGGCCTTCTTGCCATGTCTTAACATAGCGAGAAAGAGCAAGTGTGCTAGCGTGGGTTTTTTTCTTCCTCTTATAGAGCCACTAATTCCTTCATGGGGACCCAACCTCATGACCTTGTCTAATCCTAATGACTTCCCAAATAGCCCCACCATCAGTCACCATTAACGTATGAATTTGGGGCTTAAATTTCCAACACATGAGCTTTTGGGGGGACACATTCAAACATAGCAGGGCATGTACAATAAGTAGGGGCCTAGAGGAGAATTACTTTTTGGGGATATCACAAAACTACTTAAAACTTCAGCACAAACTGAGCATGAGTATAAAATATTTTTAAATCCCAGCTTGTGTGTTCACTCATCCTACCCCATATAGGAAGGATCCTATTTTTCTTTCTGATATTCACCATTGGGTAGTATCACCTTTGTGCTCTCAAAATACCTAAAAGATATATAAATGTTTTTTTTTTCTCAAGAAACTATTTCTTTTTAGTATATATGCACACATACCAGATAAGACTTAAATTTGCCAGTAACCCTTAGTCGCAAAGCAAATCCATTTTTTGGTGTGTGTGCTAGTCAAAGTTGTGTTTTTCTTTGTCTTTTTGAGTGAAAGTGTTTATTATAGACATCTTCTTTATAACATTGCAATTCATTTTGAACCCCTTTTTTCCCCTTAGACCTGAGTTCTGTGAGAGTGAAAACTATGTTTTCTTCAAATATACATCCCTAACACACTCAGCCCTTTTGACAATATGAAAAATATTTGAGGGTTTGGGGATTTAGCTCAGTGGCAAAATGCTTGCCTAACACATTCAGGACCCTGAGTTTGGTCCCTAGTCCTGAAAACAAACAAACAAACAAACAACAACAACAACAAAATGATGTTTGAGTGCATGAATTAAACCATGAGAATATTCTAACTACTTAGTTAGTATGTGTACTTATTTGATGTTTGTTTCCTCCTGAAATTAAATTAACTAAAGACAAGAACTATATCTGTCTGGCATGTAGCAGACCCTCTTATTCCTTGAATGAATACTGAAGAAAAGAGAAACTTTGAATAAAGAACTATGGAAAAATTGAATACGGCCTGCATATAAGGCAAGTAGACCTGTGGATCCTCTGGTACAGGAACCCAGAGCAGTCAAGCATCTGAGAGTACAGGGAATAAGTGGCACTGTGAGCTGTAATTCCTCACTGTGGTTTCTCCCATAGTCTATATTCTCCAAAGAGTTTTAGTATCTTAAATAGTTGACTGTTTAACAGCAAAAAGGAACTGTGAAGACTTAGTCATCACAAAACATGAAAGGAGAAAAACTGGATTCTAGGATTCGACCTCTCTCATACTTCATTCTTTTTTTTTTTAAAAAAAAAAAATTATTTTAGTTGTTGAACGACTTTATTTTATTTATTTATATGTAGTGCTGAGAATTGAACCCAGTGCCGCACACATGCTATGGAAGCACTCTGCCACTGAGCCATGATCCCAGCCCAATCATATACTTTATCCACAACTTGTAATTGTTGTCACCCTTCAATGTCTGTTTTCCCACTGAACTGAAAGCTTTATGTGAATAGAGGCAACAGGTGTATCTAGAACCTGGCACAGTCTGACACAATGAATGGGGAACACTCTACTCTACCCCTCCCAACTTTCAATCCCTATGTATGTAGCCATGCTGGAAAGTAACCCAGCAGAATAACCTAAGAATGAAACTAGTCTGAATAACCTTGGGGTTCTGAGTGACAGGTGATAGATATGTTTTTACAATTTGAATGCCACTAAGTGATTTTTCAGGCATATAGAATCAACCAAAGTGTAAAATACACCAGTAGAATCGGTGTGATTCACTGCTACAGAGATGAACATTCTGTCAGCATGTTTAGCTCCAATTAAGGCTAAACCTCAGCCTGTTCCTTCTCTGATCTTCCCAGTAAAACACAATTTTTATTTTGAAGCTGGAAGTAGTTGTGTCTATTGCTGACTTGGATTTTCTTATTTTTGGGGGACTGGTGTCTAAAAGTTAGGAGAAAAATATGTCGATTATTAGTAGAACCAACTTTGGGAATTTATAGGGCCAGAATTTAGAATAAGAAAGTACTATCTGAAGTTATTTTTAACAATTACTACTTTAGATATGTATTATACTTTGATTTTCCAAGTAGTCAATTATTCAAATAGCAATTGCTGCCATTATTGTAGGCCAGTGAAAAACTTGATTATCTTCATGGGGCATGGAAAACCTGAAGTGTCCCACTTTATGGCTTCTTGTTCTTCCAAGTCTTTTCTGGCAGGCAGCTTAGTGGACTTCACCATCCATCAACTCTAAAGGCATCTGTTCATCTATATATAGGCTGTTCACAGAGACTCATTTAGAAACAGATGATATATTAAATTTGTGGAATTCAATAACAGTGATGGTATAAAGACTCAGGCTTGTGCACAAGTAGTTGTTTTTGTTCAGTTTTCATTGACTTGGGGAGTGGTGAAGACTCTTGTACAGTGAAATAGATTATGTCAAATCCTTACTGCCTTCAATCTCCTGGGACTAGCATTGTCTGTGAAAAAATCTTAAGTGGTTTCAGATATTTCTTGGTGAGGATGGATGAGCATTAAGTTCATGGTCACTGAAATATACTCCTGATTGGGGTTGACTTCTGCAGTGAGCACAGTACACATGGCTCATGTCACTTTCACAATTTATTGAAAAGAAGTTATTATTTCTTCCAAAATTCGTAAGACCTGAACGTGTAAAGGCATTTTATCAAGAGTGTTTAGAATTAAGAGGAAGTAAGATAATTAAGGAAAAGGAATATTTGCATAAATGCTGTTTCTTTGTAGATAAAAGTCTTAGAAGGATCATTGGAAATCTACACAGCCTGGAAGATAAATCAGTGAAGTGTAGGTTGACTTCCATAATCCAGAGTTCACTGCTTTTGCCTTTTTCATGTCCTTAAGTACATTGTTAGAGCTAGCAGGGGGTGGTGGTGCAATGTTTAAGATGGTATATACCTACAGTCAAGTGTAGTAGTACTCAAGATAATACTGACCCAGAGTAAGCACTCTTTTTTGAATGGGAAACTTGGTCAGATTTTAGATGAGTGCAGACTTGGCAGTTAACTTTTAGGGGAGACATATGGAATTTTCAGGTAAATGGACTTTAATTTTGTAGTTTTAGAGATGAAAATTTTATTAAACAAATGTTAGTTTTTATAGGCTTCATTACTTTCATGAGGTCAGAGGTTTTTCAGTCAAGAAGTTTGCACAGTAGCCCTCACGATCCTGTCTATATATGATTTACTTAGGAAGACAACTGATTTTTCAAAATTATTCTCAGGTACTAACCATTGCTTTCATAAATTATTGTTCAGGCTTATTGAATTGGATTATTTGCATGAAATCAAATTATTATTTTTTGCACCAGGAATTGAACCCAGGAGTGCTTAACCACTGAGCTACATGTCCAGCCCTTTTTATTTATTTATTTATTTATTTATTTTTTGAGACAGGGTCTCACTAGTTGCTTAGGGCCTCACTAAGTTGCTGAGGCTGGCCTTGAACTTGAGATCCTCCTGCTTTAGCCTCCCAAACACTGGGATAACAGGCATGAGCCATCATGCCTGGCTAATTTATTATTTTTAACCATTTTCTAATAGCTTACCTTAAGCCAGGCCTTACAAACATTATAAAAGATGATAGATTGTAGTCCTCTTATCCCTCTCCCTTTATCCTGGTTGGCTTCCCCTTTTCTTTCCTACAAAGCACACTACATATGATTAAGTCTCAACTTTAATGACATCTATACTTGGATATAAATCCCATTCCAGCACTTTTGACCTTTGTGATATGAGACAAAATTTATTAGTTTATTTATTTATTTATTGGGGGGGGGGTTACCAGGGATTGAACTCAGGGGCACTCAACCATTGAGCCACATCCCCAGCCCTTTGTTGTATTTCACTTGAGACAGGGCATCACTGAGTTGCTTAGTGCTTCACCATTGCTGAGGCTTTGAACTCACAGTCCTCCTGCCTCGGCCTCCCGAGGCAAAACTGGTGAGGCAAAACTTTAAAGGTCTGATTTTTAGTTTGCTCGTCCATAAAAGGGAGATGGTAATCATATTATCCTCACAGGCTCCTCTCCTCGCTCCCCACAAACCTTCAGTCCAGGGCTGAGGATGGAACCCAGGACACATGCTGGCAAGAGCTCTACCACTGAGCTCTCCCTTCAGTCTTCCCCTCCTCTTTAAAATTAAATAACTTAAAAGCATGTCAGTCATTTAACACAAAGCCTCATACACAGTAACACATTCATTTACTCCTACTATTGTTTGTATTTTATTACTAGAATTATTGTTGCTGATCTGTGGTTATAATTTATTTTGAAATAAAATTCCTAGATTAATTTAAATTTTTTTGACTAAAGTTGATCACCTGAACTCCTATGATCCTGGTTTGAACCACCCATTTTCCTCAGTCACCCCCTTTGTCCTCCTGTTCCAGATCTGTTATGTTAGCAGAATGGGCTTTCAGAAGATCCTGGAAAAGCCAAGTGAGGAGTTCTGATTCTGGAATCAGGATGTTTGGGCTCAAATCCTATTCTACTCTTAATAGTGAATAAGCTTAGGTCAATTACTTAATCACTCTGGGCCTCATTTTCCTTTCCTGTAGGATGGGATTAACAATGCCTGCTCTTCCTCCCCCAGTACAGCTTCCCAGTCCATGTTTGTGCAGAGAAGTGGGTGCTGAGATTGTCCAAAGCCACAGGGAAAATGGTGGAAAATTCACTGTCACCATTACCAGAAAGAGAGATTTTGTTCTTAAGCTCCCATTTTGGCTTTTTTAAAAATATTTTTTTAGTTGTAGTCGGACACAATACCTTTATTTCATCTATCTATCTCTTTATTTATTTATTTTTAAAAGTCAGATGGCCTTGTCTTTTTTTTTTAAATATTTATGTTTTGGTTGTAGATGGACACAGTACCTTTATTTATTTTTATGTGGTGCTGAGGATCGAACCCAGGGCCTCAGACATGCCAGGCAAGCACTCTACCCCTGAGCCACAATCCCAGCCCCTATTTATTTTTTTATGTGGTGCTGAGGATTGAACCCAGTGCCTTTCACGTGCTAGGTGGGCTCTACTGCAGAGCCACAATCCTAGCCTCCCCATTTTGGCTTTGTCCTTTATCTTATGTGGGCTTTTATTCCTGAATCTTGGCTAAACTCCTCAGGCTTAACCTACTAGCCTCAAAAATATTGGGCAGTTGCATTCCTGTCCACCTCCTTAACATGATGAGTACTTCTCCAGTCAACTCCATTCATACAATCACAGATAACTATGCTAAAAATCAACAGAAGAATTACCAAGAAGAGGCCATCGCAGCATTAAGAAATACTCCTATTAGTGAAGTAAATCAAATGTTCTTTCTTGCAGCCAAAGAACTTTACACCAAAAACTGAGTTGCATGTAAAGATACTAACATTAAGCATGATAAGTTTTTGACAGAATAATTTTGACCATAATTATTTATTTTCTTTTATTATAGAAATGTAAAAAAAAAAAGGTGAAAGTTGTTCTTCTCTTAAGAACAACATAATTAATGTTGTAAATGTTTTAAATATTCACTGTTAATAGAATAAATAAAATATTGCAAAAAAATAAATAAATAAACAAAACTGCCCATCTCCATAGGGATGTTATAAGAAAAGTGGTTTAAAACACATGGGTTAGTCTGGGGCTATATTAATTTATAAAATAATAATAACCTCTTGCTAAGATTTCTTTGTACATATCATCATTTTGAGATCTAGTTTAATTTAAGAAGCAATTATTAGATGCAACCTTATTTGAGGTGCTGGGGGACATCTATTAATAGGATACATTTCTTGCCCTCTAGGAATTTATAAACTATTAGGAGAGATGATTAGGGGTAACTATTACATAAGGCAAAATACTTTTTCATATTTTGCGCTCAGTGGTAGAACACTGGCCTGGCTTGTGCAGTGTCCTGGGGGGAAGGGGTGTAGGGAGCAGGGGAGGAGTCCTGTGAGGATGGTACCATTACTGTCCCCATTTTAAGGACAAGAAAACTAAAAATCAGAACTTTGTAGTTTTCATCACAGTTAAAAGTAGTCACAGAAGGCCCAGAGTAATTCTGCATGTGCGGAGTGAACTGGGAAGGCTAGGTGAAGGCAGTGGGCATTCCCTCGTGAAGTGAATAAAAGAAGCAGCAGAAGGTTCATGGTGCTTGAGGAAGAGGAGCTGGATAGTCCTGGTTGGGATGCTGTAGAATGGGAGATGTGGCTCAAGTGAGGACAGAGCCCTTGAGCTACTGCAGCAAGGGAAAGAGTGTTGGGATAAATTTGGTAAGAGGAGTGCGAGGTGGTGGAGGTCAGAGTTGCTCAGACATTGAAATCAGTACTGGGAAGGGTAATGATTCCTAAAGAGGTGAGAAGGATGGGCCGTGGGTTAGGTTTTTGGGAGAAAGAAGTTCTACTTTGAATGTACTGCATTTGGGATGTAGGCAGGAGCCTAGTTATGGTTCTCTCATTCTTGGAGGCCTCCCTAAAAGTGCTCTGTGGAAAAGGCCAATGTTAGGACCCTGTGATTTCCAGTAGATGCAGATTCCTTTCAGCTGTGCTTGCAGGGCCCCTATAATTGAAGGCCTATCATGTAAGGGGACTTCCTTTGGCCTGTGGGATCCTCTTACCCCCTCTTTGCACATTTTCTCAGTCATGGAACAACAGATTTGCCTTTGTCTTGTGTAATGTCTGGAACCTAAACCTCCCTTTAGGTTCCATTAACTTTTGCAGTAGAAATAATTGACTTCTTTTACTTAATAAAAATCCCTATTAAGTTGTTTCGTTAGGTGGTGTTGCCCAAGTAGAAATAGGAGAAACACCTCTCAGTCTGCTAGCCGGATGTGCTTTGAGTCATCTAGCTTGGTTATTTCACCCCAACAGAAAAAGGCCCTGAGTCAAGAGGAAGAGAAAGAAAAGAGGTATATTAATGGCACACTATCTTCTGTTCTAGAGGAATGCAAGGCTTGGTGAAAATATCTCTGATTTTTGGATACAAAAGAGAAGAATTTAATAACCAGTATCTTCTGCTCTCCGAGCAACTGCATCACTCACCATACACATGTTGTAAACATTCAATAAGGAGGGGCTGGGGTTGGGATCAGTGGTAAAATGCTCACCTAGCACATGCGAGGCACTGGGTTTGATCCTCAGCATCACATAAAAACAAACAAACAAATAAATAAATAAAGGTATTGTGTCCAACTGCGACTAAAAAAAAAGTATTTAAAAAAATATTCAATAAGGAAGTGCATGCACCTGGAAATCTTTCTGTTTGCTGGGTGCTGGTTGGTCCTCATGATGATATTTTCTGTGAATTCAGAATTGGTGTTTTTCAGTCTTAGAAGGAGGACCCAGTATTGTAGAAGGTTTTAACAAGAGGCAAGTCTCTGGTACTTTGTGGATTGTTATCGCCCTGCAAGACACTTCGCAACTTCCTCTTGCCACCCACAGCAGAATACGGAAACCCTGCTGTATCAGGCCACTTCTGCAATTACACAGTTACAATTCAAGGGAATCTTTCACGCTACAACCTTTTGTTTTTAGACTTTTTTGCATTTGAAAATGTGTCTTTTGAGGTGGAGTACCCGACTGACCCTTCATCTGTCCTCTCTCTTTGCTGCCCTGCAGTGCTGCAGTTGAAGCTCCAGCAGCGCCGGACCCGGGAAGAACTCGTGAGCCAAGGGATCATGCCACGTAAGTGCCCCTCTCTCAGCTATGATTGTTGCTTTAACGTGATTGTGTGAACCCAATATGCCTCTGAAAGCATCTAACATAAAACAAGGATGGTAGGGTTTTTTCCCTCTCTTTTTTTCCTCATGCTTTTCCAAGTCCAAGGATTCTCAGTCACTAAAAAGTTAAGATAACTGTCCTAATTGATGAAGTTCCGTGAAGCAAACTGCATTATGCATAAAGGGTGCCAGTGAATCTTTCTTTGCTTTTGAATCACACTTTTCGGAAGGTTTCTATGCTCTTACATTTACCATTACCAAAGGAGGAGACTTTACACTGAGGTATTGTGAGGAAGAACCCACTTCTTGCATATGGTTTGTCTTTGTGTTCAGGTTGTTAGGATAAGAAACTTCTGTCCTACTTGTTCTCAATAGGTATTTAGAGCAAGGTCCTCAAGTACCCTGTGGCTGAGATGGGTGTTGAGCATGCCTAAGTGAAGTCATGGGTGGACTGTCATGGTGATGGCCCAGTGCAAATTTCACCATGGGAGAGAAAGGAAACTAAACCTTGGAATCTATCAAAAGTGAGAAAATCCACTTTGAATAACAGTAGCATCATAAACTGTAAAAGCTGAAGCCAGCAGGATTTTGCTCTTTTTTTTTTTTTTTTTTTTGTACTGGGGATTAACTCAGGGGCACTTGCGCATGGAGCCACATCCCCAGCCCTATTTTGTATATTATTTAGAGACAGGATTGCGCTGAGTTGCTTAGTGCCTTGCCATTGCTGAGGCTGGTTTTGAACTTGAGATCCTCCTGCCTCAGCCTCCTAGAGCTGCTGGGATTATAGGCATAAACCACTGGGTCCAGCTAGAATTTTGCTCTTTTGATATTTCTTTCTAACTTATCGCAGAGCATAGGCTCTCTCTTTTTCTGTGTGTGTGCCATCATCACTTGTATTCATACTAATGAAGTAAATAAATAAATAAAATAAAAGTCACCAGGCAGAGTATCATATGCCTGTACTCCTGGAAATGTGCTTGTAATCGTGGCAGCTCGGAGACTGAGGCAGGAGGATCACAAGTTTGAGGCTAGCCTCAGCAATTTAGGGGGACCCTGCCTCAGAATAAAAAAGAGCTGTGGATGTGGTTTAGTGACAGCACCCCTGGGTATAATCTCTAGTACTAAAACAAGAAATCATGCAGCAACTTCTGGCTTCATCATGGGACAACTGGTATTTTCCACCTTAACTCAGTGCCTACTGACCTATTGCCACTGTGGGTTCCTATCTCTCATTTGCTCATTCACTCATAGTATTAATACGTGTCAATTAATAGAGCAAGATAAATCTACTCCTACTCTCAGGAGATTTATATTTAGAAGGGCAAGACTGATAATTAAAAAGGAGACAAGTAGCCAAGTGTGGTGATGTACACCTATAATTCTAATGACTTGGAAGGCTGAGGCAGGAGGACAGCCTGGGCAACTTTGTGAGACCGTAAGCAATGTAGACTCTGTCTCAAAATAATAAAATAAAAGATCTGGAAATATAGCTCAGTGGTGAAGTGCCCCTAGATTGAATCCGCAGTACCAAAAATAAATAAATAAAAGGAGACAAGTAAATAAGATAATTTTAGAATCTAATAAGTACTATGACATAAACTAACTAGTGTGGATGTATTAGCAGGTAATAGGAATAAAGCGGTGGTGACTTTATAGATAAGATGGCCAAGAAAGGCTTCCCTAAAGAGAAAATATTAGAGTTGAGATCTGTAGAATGAGTTGGAGTCAACCATTCAGAAAGCAGGGTTCAGATAGAAGGAAAAGTAAATGTAAGGGCCTGGTACAGGCAAGAGCTTGGTGTGTTTGAAGGAAGAACAAGGAAGCCAGTGTGGCTAGGGCATCAAGGTGTGTAAGGGAAGGGGAGCTAGTGCAGATGGGCAAGGTGCAGGTCCATTCACCATGGTCTGTCAGTGCATGGAGGAGGCACACTCAATTTTAAGTACAATGAGAAGTCATTGAAGGCTTTTAAGGCAAGTAAGGATGGTGTTTGATTTGTATCATGGTAATGTTAGCAGTCAGAAGTCTATTTCTATTCTAAACATCAGCCAATAATCTTGTTTACTGCAGCTTCCTACCAAACTATTTACCCACCTTATGCTATCTTCTGTGGCCCTTCAGTGAATAGCCCCCACCCCTAACCCTTAGTGTCAGGTGGCTCGTACAGTGGATCAGTAATGTGATCACGTAGGGCAGTACTGTGTTTTACAGAATGCTTCTCAACTGCTTTTCCCTTTCCTGGAAGACAGTATGCTTTTAGTGTCTCCTTTGTGCCTAAGTGCCTAAGGTAGTCTCTCTTTTTTTTGTACCAGGGATTGAATACAGGGTGCTTAACCACTGAGCCACATCCCCAGCCCTATTTGTATTTTATTTAGAGATGGGGTCTCACTGAATTGCTTAGGCCTCACTAAATTGCTGAGGCTAGCTTTGAACTCGTGATCCTCCTGCCTCAGCCTCCCGAGCTGCTTGGGATTACAGGTGTGCGCCACCATGTCTGGCTGTAACATAGTTTAAATGCTTTAGAGATTAAAGAAATATGGGGCATGACACCTGCCCTCAAAATATTGGACAGCCAAAATTTGGGTAGCTATAGTTTACCCGTCCACAATAAAGAGAAGTTCAGTACTGATGCATAGATGCTGACTGTAATCA